GGGTCGGTTTCGGCCGACCCGCGCTGGTGCTGGTCGGTTTCGGTTGTCCCGCATCGGCACGGGTTCCGAAACCTGACACTTTCTTTTGGTTTTTTCGACTCTTCTGGGACTTGTATTTACCACCGTTTTACATGTTTGACCGTCTTGTTGACTTGCATGCTTCGTTGCGGGAATGACTGTCGAAATCGCGTTGGTTGATATACGCGCGTGTTGATTGATGCACACGTGTTGACCGATGCACGCGAACTGATTGTTGGACATGCGTTGATTGATGCGCGCGAGCTGATTAACGTGCGTGTGTTGACTGACACGCGCGAGCTGATTGATAAGCGTGCAGGCTACTCGCTTTGCTATTTTGCTTCAGGCGCTTGTCAACGTCAGATAATCCTCTTAGACTCAGATAACGACGTTCATTGTCTTCTCTCCGTCTCGAGCTATGTGCGGACACTCATAGGTATTTTTAGACGCCTACACCAACCCCCAGTCTTAATTAAGACTTAGTAGGGGAATAAAAAGAGGTAGACAATGCACATCGCCTAGTGGGGCACTATCCATGAAGTCAGAATAGAAGCACATCACCTGGTAGGCCATTATCTGATGAGTTTGACTATCAGAGGTAACTGTTAACGTGATAGTTTTGTAGACATGTCATCCTATTGAAGAAGATTGGCAAGTTGATGGACTATCAGAGGTAACTGTTAACGTGATAGTTTTGTGGACCTGCCATCCTATTAAAGAAGATTGGCAAGTTGATGGACTATCAGAGGTAATCATTACCGTGATAGTTTTGGTGGACTCGTCATCCTACTTGAAGAGGATTGGTGAGGGAATTTGGAGAAAATAGACTATCAGAAGTGTACTGTTAACTGTATAGTTTTGACGAATTTCGTGGTTGACAGAGGTATTTTATTGAATGTGAAAACTCAGAAATTTATTATTCATGATCCAATAAACTACAAACAAACCAACCCCCAGTGTTGAACAAGTGCGGGGGGGAAAGGATAGACATGGCACATCGCCTAGTGGGCTACTATCTAACGAGTTTGACTATCAGAAGTAATTGTTAACATGATAGTTATTGGACCCGCCATCCTACTAAAGAGGATTGGCTTCGGTGGCCGTAGTATCTTCCCCATCTGACTGAGAAGATCGGGCTTGGTCCGATTGCTCAGGTTGATCCTGCCTACTTTGTTCTTCAGGTTTAATCCTGACGATAATCTTTTGAGCCTGTTCACCTTGAGAGATTAGTTGTCTCCAGGAACAACATTCTGCAACCCTCATTTGCGCTACAAGTTCGGTTTGCAAGTTGTGTCGATAGGTCTCCACTAAGGTAGACTGTGTCATACCTGTTGGGCATCGCAGAGCCATGTTTCGAAACCTTTTGACGAATGCTTTGACGGACTCTCTCTTCTTCTGCTTAGTGGCGAGAAGGGTATGAATGGAGACTTCTGTATCCTCTTCAAAAAATCTTGATAGGAAGAGTCTTTCTAGATCCGTCCACTTTTGGATACATCCCGCAGGCAGTTTTCTGAACCATTCAAAGGCAACTCCCTTGAGGGTACCAATGAACAATCGAGCCAGTATGACATCGTTTGATATCACATTCCCAGTCTGTGACTTGAAATGATAGATATGTTGGTTCGGTGATCCCGTGCCGTCAAAAGTTTGTAGTATCGGGACCTCGAATTTTAAAGGATAAAGGACTGCATCCCATTCGGCGGGATAGGGTCTGACAACTCCCTCGTCTTGGAGCTCGCTTCTGTTGGCAATGGTATTGAGGCGGGCTTCTAATTCTTTCATTTTGGCAGATCAGAGAAAGATTCCAGGTTGTGGGCTTCTTGGTCAGAAACCGCATCATTAACCACTTTTTCCTTCTCTTTGCTTGTGTGAGGTCGGGATGAATACGTTTTTCCTCTCCGAGAAGATTGTTGCCTAGGTGACGAATCTGTCTTCTGAGATTTGGCATTGTCTGCGACGATTTGAGTCAACAGGACCAGGAGTTCATCGAGGGTCTTCTGCTGTGATTTGAGCATG